CTTTTGGACAGTGCAAAGTGCGTCTATTTTTGTTTTCTCTCTCCTCTCTCTCTCTCTCTCCTCTCTCCTCTCTCACTCACTCTCTCTCTCTCTCTCTTTCTCTCTCTCTCTCACACTCCTCCTCTCTCTCCTCTCTCTCTCCTCACTCTCTCTCTCCTCACTCTCTCTCTCTCTCTCTCTCTCTCCTCACTCTCTCTCCTCACTCTCTCTCTCACCCTCTCTCCTCTCTTTCCTTCTCTCCTCTCTCCCTCTCTCTCTCTCTCTCCCTTCCCTCCTTCTCTTCTCCTCTCCTCCTCTCTCTCTCCCTCTCTCTCCCTCTCTTCTTCTCTATCTCACTCTCTCTCTCTCTCTCCCCTCTCTCTCTCTCTCTCTCTCACACCTCTCTCTATCTCTCTCCCTCCTCTCCTCCTCCCTCTCTCTCTCCTCTCTCTCCCACCTCTCTATCTTCTCCTCTATCCCTCTCTCTCTTCTCTTCACTCTCTCTCTCCCCTCCTCGCTTCCCTCTCCTCTCTCTTCTACACTCTCTCTCTCTCTCTACTCTCTCCCTCTCTCTCTCTCGCTCTCCCTCTCTCTCCCTCTCTCTCTCTCTCCATCTCTCTCTCTCTCTCTCTCTCTCTCACACTCTCTACACTCTCTCTCTCTCCCTCTCTCTCTCTCCTTCTCCCTCCTCTCTCTCATCTCTCTCTCAACACTCTCTCTCTATCTCTCTCTTCTCTCTCCTCTATCCCTCTCTCTCTCTCTCTCTCCCTCTCTCTCTCCCCTCTCTCTCCTCCCTCTACTCTCTCTCTTCTTCTCTCACACTCTCTCTCTCTCTCTCCCTCTATCTCTCTCTCCTCTCTCTCTCTCTCTCTGCTTCTCTCCTCTCTCTCTCTCTCTCTACAATGGAGCCACAAAACCCCTATAGGGATAGTCATGGGGAGGCGTGACAATTCTATTTTGAGCTTTAGCAGGTAAGGTAACTGGAGAGGGGTATCACGTGACTCCCACACCCCCGCCGCTTCTCTGTAGATTACGCGTGGAAGTTAGCATTGTAGTACTAGTAACTGCTAGCTTTCTTTTGATATGCTTGAGACGTTAACGAGTGGCGTATTTGTAATGAATGATTAACAGTAATAATAAATAATTTGTCTGTAACAATGGACAGTGTAAGTGGCGATTGCAGTTGGTTCACGACGAGGCGCTCACGACTGCTTCGACTGCAAGAGTGGCAGACCACACGGGCAAATCTAAGACACCACTTTCGACCTTTTAAAAAAGTTATAATTAGGGTATCAGTAGCGTCTGCTCTATAAATATCTCGATTCTTCATGCAAATGTTTCTATACGGCCTTCCTTGCGAACTCTCAAGAAGAATGAGTTTTATCTCTTTCAGTCCCAACTATGCTCGCTTACTAGAACTAGCCATGGCATCAAGTATTCAACTAAGAAAACCTAACACAAAACATGGAAAAATGAAATGAATGAAAGTAGAGTGCTTCGGAATAATCAGTATGCAAAGACAGAAAGAAAGTTTGGCAAAACAAAGTGTGCGTTTAGAAAAACAACAGTAATTTAAAACATGCAAAAGGAACAAACAAAACATGATGTAGATATGTATTAAATGAAAATTTTTATTATCTATGATTGTTGTAAGAAATATTGCAGATGGTTGATTCCTGAAACAAACAAGAATGGAAACTGTATGTTAACAAAGGTACATAATGACATTCCAAGAGAGTAACAAAATCATGAAAAGAAACAGCAGAATAGTTCATCACATTACATGCATGTTTGGATGTGGCTAATACAGGTAATGTTGCTTATGTTTCAGATTCTTCTGACGACACTCCAAAAAAGAACTTAGAGTTATTCTATACTATATACGTCATTCAAAAAGTACAACTTTTTGTGACTCTATATCCTGTTCGGAGAAACGTCTATAATTCACAATTCTTGGGGAACGTCAACAGTTGTCAAATTCTCAAAAGAGTTACATTACTTGCATTGATACTATTACAACTATTTTTTTTTCTAAACACTTTCCTCATTCTGCGAGTACACATCTGACTTGTCGGTGAAAGCAATCCCATACAGCAAGCACATTATTTTAATATATTGTGATATAAGGCAACCCAATTCGTTTTAATCAAACGAAATTTTAGTAGTGCTTATAGACATTAAAACAGTACTAATTATCATGTATCTTGTATAAGAGTATTTAGAACCCACTCAATATAGTGTTTGATAAATGTTTATTATGTGTATTATGCAAACATGAAATAATAATGGTTTGTGAAGAGGCCAAGGAAGCAAACTGATTGGATTCGAACCTGGGGAAAAAGTACTGATAATAATAATGTAACTGCATACATGGACGATACTTGTGTTTACACAAAAACTTTACGGGAACACATAAACTCCTTGGAAATAAGTGTTCCACAACATTGAAAACACAAACCTGACAGTGAACCCAGTAAACTCAAAGTTTTGTCATACACGTATTCAATTTTTGGGACCTACTGTTTTTGACGGGGAAGTATCTCAGACCTGATGAGGACAAATTGGGGACCCCCCCCCCCCCCCCCCCCAATGGGGACACGCCCCCCCCCCCCCCACACAAAAAAGCTGCAGGTCACTATTAGGACTTGTAAATTATGACGGCAGAACCCGCGGGACCCCCCCCCTTCACCCCTCACTCCCCCCCCCCCCCCCCCCCAAAAATTTAGCCCCCCCCCAACTCAATAAAAAACTACTCCTTTAGGACTTGAACTCTCGAACGGCAAAAGACCATTTTAGCTGAACTCACTACTCCTTTAAACGAGGAAGAACAGTTTCACAAAAACAAAAACAAACAAAAAATTAAATTAAAAAATCATTAGACAGTAAATTAATGACAGAACAGTACACAAAATTAGGTCTTTGTTTGCAACTTCACCAATCTTGAGACACCCTGATCTATCTAGAACATTTTATGTACAAACTGACTCTAGTGGTCATACCATAGCTGCGAATCTGGCTAAGAGATGTTCTGAGACTCTTCTTCCGGTTCTTTATCGATTACAGAAGCTTAATTCCACTCAACAGAAATACAGTATCTTCGAAAAAGAGGTTTTAGCTCTGGTGATCAGCCTAAAATTTAAAAATAAATATTTGATAGGAAATAAATTTATTATTCTGACTGACAATTTAGGCCTGACCAAGTTGTTAACAATGGATGCAACTAATAACTCAAAAGTATACAGATGGGCGTTACTAATATCCTAATTCCAGTTTAAAATAGAGCAAATTAAAGGTATTGAAAATCATTTACCAGACGTGATGTCCAAATTATAAACAGGTGTTGAAAAAAAAGATTGAGGTTGCATAAATGTATTTATTTTAATAAATTATACATAACATAGGGAAATATTGAACTACATGTTACAGGAAACAGTACTGTTGAATGAATTGATGTTATGAAATATGTTCATGTAAGAAAAGTGACAATTTTTTTTCTGTTTGTTGATCTGTTTGCAAATAACAAAAAGATAATGATGATGATGAGGATAATGATGATGAGGATGATGAGGAGGATGAGGATGATGATGATACATCATATTGAATATATAAGGTTTTTATAAAGATTGTAAATGTTTTTACAGAGATAATAGGACACAATTTATTTTATTTTTATTTTTTGGTGGAAAAAAAATGATTGTAAAACATTTCATAGTTATATAATACGACAATAGAAAGGGAATAGTAATCCTTTAGAAGAGAAAATGATTTGTAATTATTATTACATAATCCAGGGGAACCTGGTCAAACTCCTTGGCGAGGGAATATGAAGCTCTAATTGAAACGGAAACCAGTGAAAGTAGCCAGTGAGTCTATTGGTTAGGGTGGGACTTTGTGGGTTTTTACATTTCTGTTCCATAGCCGTTATGGACTTCCGCACTTTGAAGAGAGTGCCTATTTTGTTGTTCTGTCTTTAGACAGACTGTGGAATGGGATGGGGAATGCAAGAGCCTATAAGGTCTTCCGCACTTGAAAGAGAGTGCCAAAGTGTTAATTCCTATTAAGGCATAGGGTGCTCACTAAATACAATGACTGGCGATGTGACAAAGGTAGATCATTTGAAACCCAGGGAAAGGGAAGTAATAACCAAAACCCAGAATGATTAGTAGGTAATCAACATCACTACATTAAAGTAAACCCAAACCTATAACATTATAACATGAAAAGAAAGTAATAAAAAAAACAAAATTAACAATTCATTTTTATTACCTGAGGTGGGGGAGAGTTATAATGTTGTGAATTCCCGGGGAAACCCCAGAGAGTTTCCAATTAGGGGGAACAAGGTCAGAGTACCAGTAAAACAAGAGGAAAGCGAGATAAGCAGGTCTCGAATATCCCACTGCCGGTGGATCAGTGACAATTGTACTGGATTAATGATATTTTTATTTTGAAAGCTCAGGCTTCTGGCCTGTAACAATCGCTATTATTTCAACGTTTTAGCCTCACGGTAAACTTAGTTCAAAATAACTGCTCTATACTTTTGACACAATAGGGTTTGATTTCTTAGAAAGACTGTTCTTGTCATTTGTATATAGTTATTATAGTTGAATAAATCTATAGAGTCTAATTAGACTGTTTCATAAATTCAGATGTGAACGACACATATAAATGATTTCTTTTGTTAATTTAGGGAATTCACTAATTAGGAATAATTATTATTATAATCTTCTTTACATTCACAGGCTGTAAACATCCTGCGGATAGTTCTGGTTGTTTGTCCACTTCTGGACTTTGGTCTAGTTCCAGAACTTCAGTATCTTGAGTTGTGTGTGTAAATGCATTACACAGATCTTTCTTATTTGTAAGACTGTTTGTTCCTCGCCTCTCAGGCATTCAAATAAAGAAAACACCTAAATAACTGTTAGCCCATAACACCCCCACCCACCCACCCCCTTCCCCGGGAGAAATATTACAATAAAACTAAAATACCAGTAACAGGTGTAAAATGTTGAATAAAATATTACCTGAATTTGGGAAGGCTATGCTGCCCCCAATAGGTCTGGTATGCGCTCTGTCACCCCCATTAATCCCGCCACCTCCACCCCCATGAAAGCTGCTACCGCCACCTTCTGGTCGTTTTGTGGGTTCCGATGTATCCATGGCATTCTCCCTGATACACAGTCCAGAGGGTGGGAACTGATCGCACTTTAAAGTCTCTGGCCACTCAAAGCCGAACGTGTTCATTAAGCTCTCACAACCTGTCCTCGCCTCGTTACACAGAGATCGGCACGGTGGGATCGCATCCCCCAACACGGTGCAAACGGGTAAGTACACGGTGCACAGGAAAAACTTCAGCTGTTTACTGCACTGCACTTTTACCAACGGGAAAAACTGGTGTAACTCTAATCCCGCGTCGTCCTGATTCGTGTGGTTGAGTAAATTGGGCATGATTGTTTCATTGTACTGAATATCTTTACAGAATGGTACAGTAATTTTCTCGCACTTTCCATGCGTAGCGACGTACTCGGACTCCTTCGAGTATTGGTTCGCGTTTACCCGAGCACTGCAGACTAGAAACATACACAAAACAGAACTAATAACTAGCGTACAGCAAGTCTGCCTGGAATACTTCGTGAGGGACTCCTGGGCCGCCATATTGAGAAACCGATTTTATGCTCCTCGTGGAAAACAAAGACGACCCGATCCTGTGAAGTCACATCAACATTTTCACTTAACCCGCCAGCACACAAGTAAATGTTTAAGTTATTTCTGTATTAACACATCTAACAAGCACGGGGTGTGTATTTGTGAACTCCAGTCTTGATTAAAAGTTGGTACAGGCGATGATTCACCCGTTCTGTTTAGCAGATCGGTTGTGAACAACAATGCTTGGTCTCAGACAAGGCCAGCCAGGGCAGACTACAACAAATTCCACCATCTCCTCGCCCGCGCTGCATTCGGTCGGAGTCTGACTGAACGCCACAGAATGCGCTTGGTGGATGCCCTGATTCCGGAAACAACAGCGTGCTGGAAGGAATGCGGCCAAACTACGTTTTTACCACAGGCAGCAAATGAACGAAGTCAGGATAAAGCCGTTGCTCATTCGGGGAGCTGGCTGAAATGACAGGAATTTTTTTTTTTACCATATTCAGATCCAGATCCAGATCCAGACAGCCGCGCCGTGGGCGAAGGGATTTCAGCTAGGAGTTCTCAAACTTCGGAGATAGGGTCACTTTGGGGAAATAAATACGTTCTCCCTATGTCTCTGTCTCTGTCTGTCTGTCTGTCTGTCTGTCTGTCTGTCTGTCTGTCTGTCTGTCTGTCTGTCTGTCTGTCTGTCTGTCTGTCTGTCTGTCTGTCTGTCTGTCTCTCTCTCTCTCTCTCTCTCTCTCTCTCTCTCTCTCTCTCTCTCTCTCTCTCCTCACCTAAGCTGCTAATCTGTGGTTTTCTTCTTCGCGTTCGCCGGCTGTAAACTCTGGCGGAAAGTTCTATTTGTTCGTCCACTTCTGGACTCTGCTCCTCTTCCAGAAACTGAGTGTTGAGTGCACATTCGTTTCACAGGTATGACTCATTTGCATGCAGATTGTTGATTCCTTGCCTCTCATGCAAATATACTCCGACTTCGAAGAAAGCTCTAAATTAGTCGACTCTTGCCACGAGCTTTTGGACAGGCTGTGCGTCTTTTTTTCTATCTCTCTCTCTCTCTCTCTCTCTCTCTCTCTCTCTCTCTCTCTCTCTCTCTCTCTCTCTCTCTCTCTCTCTCTCTCTCTCTCCAATGGAGCCACAAAACCCCCATAGGGATAGTCAGTGGTGAGGCGTGATCAATTCTCATTTTTAGCTTTAGCAGGCAAGATTAACTGGAGATGGTATCACGTGACTCCCACACCCCCTTCGATTCTCTCTTAAGATAACGCGTGTGCAGTTAGCATTGTAGTACTAGTAACTGCTAGCTTTCTTTTGATTTGCTTGGGACGTTAACGAGTGGCGTATTTGTAATGAATGGTTAACAGTAATAATAAATAATTTGTCTGTGGCAATGGACAGTGTATAGGCGATTGCAGTGGTTACACGCAGGCCTCACGACTGCTTCGACTTCAAGAGTGGCAGACCACACGGGCAAATCTAAGACACCACTTTCGACCCTTTAAAAAGTTATAATTAGGGTATCAGTAGCGGCTGCTCTATAAATATCTCGATTCTTCATGCTTATGTTTCTATACGGCCTTCCTTGCGAACTCTCAGGAAGAAAGAGTTCTACCTCTGTCAGTCCCACATGCGCATTATGTGAGCCTCGTGTCTCCTTGTGGATATCAACCAACGCACCATGTGCTGTGTCAATTTTTGTTTTTGTCAGAGAATACTCAAGAAATCTGGCTTTCTTGGTGACTATGTTCAATCTTACTGTAGAAAAGTTAAACTTCTGCTTTAATTTTTTGCAATTTTGTCCTTGCTGCTCTACTGCAAAATCTTCTTGGACTGAAATACAAAATTCCTAAATCTGACGATGTGGTCTTTAGGTTGTCATAATCGTGAAAATGTTTTTTTTTTTTTTTTGGTCGGTCTGAGGTTGTTGGTTTGGTGTCGACTTTTTTGCCAGCCCGGTACCATTTCACTGGAGAGTGATATCAATGCTAACTTTGGAGTGTTACGGGGTTGAGGTCCCAATCTCTTCCACGATGGCCAGCCGTGTTCTCTATCGTTCCCCTAACTGCTAAAACAAACCTTCGGTTACTATCCGTATTTACAAATTTTTGCAGTGTAGGCGAGTGTTGGTGGCCGGAGAGAAGGGGGCGGGGGTCTCTGAGCAAAAGGACTTAAGGCCGCATGGTTAGTGCAGTCGCACTGACTGTGAAACCAACACAAAGTGGTCTGTTGCCAAATCGATAGCAGATGGGAGCGAACCTGGCACTACAGAATTATGAAGCACGTTTGCAAAGCCTAAAGACATGACACTGCATAAAAACCTTATTGTAGGGAAAGGTGAATGCAAGCAAGCAAGAAGCTGACAGAGTTGGGAAGATAACCTGAAGAGATGAACGAACAGCAGTTTCAGAGGTAGACACCCAGAGCGAAAGAAGAAGTGCTGGAGATCAATTTCAGACATCTCTCACTGTGAAGACGGTACATGAATGATCTATTGCTTGTGCTGCTACATTTAAAGCCTGAACACCAACATGGTGTGCGTAAATCGGTGTTGAAAATATTACAATAGCACCAGGATTTAGCACAACATATATTACCCGACTTAGACCTGGCCGGTAAAGTTTCATCTTAGTTCACACACATCCTCACTGCTTTCAACCTTAGATTACCCTTACAACTTCACACGCAGTACAGTGTGTGTTGTCGATAAAGGAGAGGCTGTTACACCTGCTGGCTCCCGTGCTATGTAAATATAATCTTACTGATCATGTAGTTATAACTATCCCTTATAGTATAGACACTGCTGATATCGGTCCTGAGTTGGTTTCTTATACTTTTTTGGCTCTGTCAATAGACTATAACGGAGCGTGCAGAAGGTCTTATATGCCCACAGTAACTACTATAGTTATGAAGGCAGATGGTAAACCATGTTTCGATAAAGGCGAGCAGGCGCAAGTAATAACCAAACAAAAAATTTACTGAGGCCACACAAATGTTGTTTTACAGAAAACAATCCTTGGAATTCCTTGCCAAACGGAGCAACCCGGATATTTTGGAAAGGGCTAGGTCTGAAAGAGAGCTAGTCACGAGCACCAGAAAGAGATATCCATCATTGTGTGTTAGATTATCTGACACTGGATGGTATTGGCACCAGAAAGAGATATCCATCATTGTGTGTTAGATTATCTGACACTGGATGGTATTGGCACCAGAAAGAGATATCCATCATTGTGTGTTAGATTATCTGACACTGGATGGTATTGGCACCAGAAAGAGATATCCATCATTGTGTGTTAGATTATCTGACACTGGATGGTATTGGCACCAGAAAGAGATAGCCATCATTGTGTGTTAGATTATCTGACACTGGATGGTATTGGCACCAGAAAGATATAGCCATCATTGTGTGTTAGATTATCTGACACTGGATGGTATTGGCACCAGAAAGAGATATCCATCATTGTGTGTTAGATTATCTGACACTGGATGGTATTGGCACCAGAAAGAGATAGCCATCATTGTGTGTTAGATTATCTGACACTGGATGGTATTGGCACCAGAAAGAGATATCCATCATTGTGTGTTAGATTATCTGACACTGGATGGTATTGGCACCAGAAAGAGATAGCCATCATTGTGTGTTAGATTATCTGACACTGGATGGTATTGGCACCAGAAAGATATAGCCATCATTGTGTGTTAGATTATCTGACACTGGATGGTATTGGCACCAGAAAGATATAGCTATCATTGTGTGTTAGATTATCTGACACTGGATGGTATTGTGACCGGTATAGAGAATTGTGGGAAAAGAGACAGAGGAAGACAACGAGGGCAGATTGTTGACAGCCTTCTGCCATGGCATGGAGGGTTGTCACTCACGAACTGTAACATGAAATTGAAGATCGCAGATTGTGTAAAGGCTTAATCATCCAAGCCAGTGGGCAAGGCACTTAATGATGAAGATGATGATGGGCACATGCAGTAGCCATGTGCACGTTAACAATCGATTCTTATAGAGCTAACTTCCTGTTCAGTGGCTGCGAATTCATTGCTGTGTAAAACATCTTACTCTTAATTCACGATTAGTAAGGACTGTCATCATAGCACTTTAGTCAGATCCATAGGTGCTCCAGAGCATTTATCTGGCGATGCGCAACAGAACGACGCACTGGCAACTTTTATAAGACCTTCATATTTCTCGAGACTGACGGTTTAAAAGAGACAAACAATAACCTCTTTTTTTTTGGCTACTGTAATTAACTCTCTGTAGATGCGGTGAGTATATACATAATGCTTTTTTTTTCCTTGCTTCCAAAAGTGTACAACTACCGTACAATGAAGCACAGATAGATCATTATGGAGACCATGGAGAGGAAAATCAACACAGCCTTAAGAAAGTGGATTGGTGCACCGCCTTGTCTGACCGACGTGGCTCTGTATTGCAAGCAGGCTAAGCTGGTACTCCCGTTCAAATCGATAACCGAAGAGTTTAAAGTCGACAAAGTAAGACTCGCCATGCTCTTGCTCGAGTCTTCAGACCCAAATGTCATCGCTGTCCAGCACGCTCTAAAGACTGGTCAGAAGTGGACAGTCTGCCCAGAATGCACTAAAATTGAAGGAAATAATGTGATACACTCAAGCCAACCGCCGAGGCCTAAGTAACGTGAAGGTCAATTGGTAGTCAAAAGCCACTGCCAAAGAACGCCGAGACATGGTGATACAACAAGTTAGGGACAACGAAAACGAGGTTCGGGTTCAGAAAGCAGCCCAACAGTCGCAGCAGGGCCATTGGGTCAGCCTGGAGAGCGTATTGCCAAGAGTACTTACATGGGGTGAGATCCGGCGAATGACCCCGCTGCGACTAAGCTTTATCGTTCGTTCAGCGTACGATGTATGACCGTCCGGTGTTAACATGGTTAAGTGGTCTGCGACCAACGATCCGACTTGCCCTTGTGCAAAGCGAAGCAGACGCTTGAACACGTTTTGTCCGCATGCAGGAAAGCCCTAAG